GGGCGGCCCCCCGCCCCGCTCGGCCCCTGCACCCCCCCCCCCCCCCCAGTGCCGATGGTCGCCGATGGTCACTGGCCTCGCTGCCCTCCTCTGGCTATGGCACCAACACCCCCAGCTCCACTGTCTCGGTGAGTCGGGGACCCCAGAGCCCCCCACATCCAGAGGACCCACTGGGGCATCCTCCCCATGGCAGGGGGGGTGGCTGATGGGAAGGTCACTGGGGGTCTGTGGGTGGGTTCTAGCACAGGTCTGGCTGTGGGGTTAGGTGTGGGTCCCACTAGTGGGAGCCTGGGGAGGGGTCGATGGGTGGCCAGGGGTCCCTGTGGCGTGCAGTGGGGCATCATGGAAGGTCCATGGGGTGCAGTCGGGGGAACATGGTGGCGCCAGCGGGTCCCCGTGGGTGGCCATAGGTCCTCGTGAGGTGCCATGGGAGGGTCCATAGGGGGGTCTATGAGGGTCCCTGGGGCGTGGTGGGGGTCCGCGGGGTCGGAGGGGTGATGCGGGCGCGCAGTCGTCGTGCTCGTCGCAGGAGCGCCTGCACCAGCTGCCAGCGCAGCCGACGCCGGAGGAGCTGCGCTTCCTCTCCCGCCACTTCGGCAGCTCTGAGAGCCTGGCTGAGGAGGATGGAGGGGCCCGGGGGGGGCCGGCCCCACGTCCCCGCTCCCGCAGCCTCAGGTGGGGCTGGGGCACTGGGGGGGTTGGGGACCCCAAGAGGCTGGGGGGGACTCCATGGCGGAATCAGGGCACCAGGAGGCTAGGGGTCACCATGGGGTTGGGGGAGGGGAACCAGGGCTTTGGGGAGACCATGTGGGGCACCATGGGGCTTGGGGACACCATGGGGGAATCAGGGCACCATGGGGTGGGGGACAGCAGGGTGATGGGGACACCATGGCCATGGGACATCAGGGAGGTGGAATGGGGACACTGTGGTTCCCCATGGGGATGCCATGGAGGGATGCTGGGGGTCCTGCAGGTACTAGCGGTAGGGATGCTGGGGAGGGGAGGGGGGGATGCTGTGGGTCCCATGGGTGCCAATGGTGCCCCCCCAGCCCTGGACGCTCGCCTTCGTCCCACGACAACGAGATCGTGATGATGAACCATGTCTACAAGGAGCGGTTCCCCAAGGTGGGGCTGGGGGAATGTGGGGGGCTGGTGGAGCTATGTGGGACTGGGGGAGGACATGGGGTCTTGGGGGGTTCTGGTGGGGGGGCTAAGGGTGTTGGGGAGTTACGGAACAGCTCTGGGAGGGTCTCAGGCAGCTAATGGGCACTGAGGGAGGATATAGGGTCTTGGGGGGTCCTGGCAGGGTTATGGAGGTCTTGGGGTGTTATGAGGTATCTAGGGGGGGATCATGGGGGCTCTGAGGTTCCTGGAGGGGAGGTGTAACAGCTCTGGGGGGTCTGGAGGAGGTTATGGGGTCTTGGGGGGCCCCAGGGGGCTGTGGGGGTGTCGGGAGCTGTGGGCAGCACGTCCACCTGGGTCCTGCAGGCGACGGCACAGATGGAGGAGCGGCTGGAGGAGTTTGTGCGGGGCTGTGGCCCCGGGGGGACACCGCTGGCCGATGGCGCCCTCAGCTTCATCCAGCACCAGCTGGTCGAGCTGGCGCGTGACTGCCTGGCCAAGGCCCGGCACGGCCTCATCACTGCCGGCTACTTCTACGAGCTGCAGGAGAACATGGAGCGGCTGCTGCAGGACGTGAGCCACAGCACCCAGTAGGGCCCAACAGGACCCATTGGCACCCAACGGGGCTCAGTGACACCCAGTGGGGCCCCAAGGGACCCATCAGGGCCCAATGGTGCCCAGCAGCACCCAACAGAGCCCAACATGGACCCAACAGGGCCCAGTGCAGACCCATTGGCACCCAACGGGGCCCAAAGAGGCTCAGTGACACCCAACAGTGCCCCAGGGGACCCAACAGCACCCAGGTGGTCCCACTGGAGCCCAATGGCACCCTCAGCACCTAATGGGGATGCACCAGGGCCATACAGGGCCCAATGGGAACCTTCAGCACCCAAGGGCACTCAATGGGACCCAACAGGATTCCCCAAGGACCTGGTGGGACCCTGCTGGACCTAATGAGACCCAAGGGGATGCCCTGGGGCCCATGGGACCCCCCAGGACCCAACAGGACCCTATGTGACTCCCCAGCATACCCCGACCCCCACGTCCCCTGGGATCCCCTGACCCCTTTGCGTTTCCCCCCCCAGGCCTACGAGCGCTCGGAGTCGGAGGAGGTGGCCTTCATCACCCAGCTGGTGAAGAAACTCCTCATCATCATCTCCCGCCCTGCCCGGCTGCTCGAGTGCCTGGTGAGTCCCATGGACCCCCCCCATCCCCAGGGGACCCAGGCATTCGGGCCCTGTGACAGCCCCCCCAGCATCCCCCCCCCATCCCATTTTGCACCATCCCATTTTGCACCATCCCAACTGTCCAATCAGACGAAGCCCTTCTGGTCACCCTGACAACGCCCTGACCAATCCCTGCGCACGGCCAATGGGGAGGCAGGACTGCTGTTGCCATGGTGACGGTCGTGTTGCCGGGACAGCGTCATGGCAACGGCGCATCCCGGGGACCGCGGAGACAAAGGCGGGAGGGGCCGGGCGGGCCAGATGCGTGTGCACTCACCTGTGACTGTCGGTGCACGCCGGCACACACGTGCTCATCCGTGTGGTCTGGCGAGCGTGTGTGTGTGTGTCGGTGCAGGCACAGCGACAGACATGTACACATGCGTTTGGGCTCAAACGTGCACACGTGTCCTGATGCACACGCGTGTCCTGGTGTGTGCACACACATGAGCTCACACACGCTCTCACACGCGTACAGACCCATGTGCACCAGCACATGCCCCCAGTGTCTGCTGGTGCACCACACTGTGCTGGTGCACGTCCCTGTGTGCACGTGTGTGATGATGCGTGTCCCCCCATGCACACACGTGCTGGGGCGTGTTGGTGCAGGAGTTTGACCCGGCCGAGTTCTACCAGCTGTTGGCAGCGGCGGAGGGCCAGGCCCGCGAGGGGCTGCTGAAGGCCGACATCCCTCGCTACATCATCGGGCAGCTGGGGCTGGCACGGGACCCCTTCCCCGGTACACGTGTGTGCGAGTGGCCACGGGGCAGGCACGGGGTTTGCACACGCCTGTGGGGGCATGCGCACACATGTGGGAGCATGCAAGGGGCATGCACGTGTGTGGGAGCATGCACGGGGGGCGTGTGCTGGAGGGCTGCGCACATGGGGTGTTGTACACTAGGGGTGCACATGTGTGACACCCCATGTCCCCGCACACGTGTTACACCCCGTGTCCCTGCAGACGTGGTGCATCTGGAGGAGCCCGACAGCGGCGGGAGCAACACGCCGGAGCCGGAGGAGGGGGCTGAGGTGGGCGCCGGGGCAGGGTCCCTGTGTGTCCCTCCCTGTGTCCCCCTGTGTCCCCGTGTCACCCCACGTCCCCCCAGGGCCGCAGTGCTGTCCCCAGGGCAAAGAAGCCGCCTGGTGAAGGCGACTTTGAGACCATCAAACTCATCAGCAACGGCGCCTACGGGTGAGCGGCCCCGGATGCCGGGGTCCCTGGGGGGGGGTCCCAGGCACCGGGGTCCCTGTCGCGGCATGACGCGCGGCTGTGCCGGCAGGGCGGTGTACCTGGTGCGGCACACGGCCACGCGCCAGCGCTTCGCCATGAAGAAGATCAACAAGCAGAACCTGCTGCTGCGCAACCAGGTGGAGCAGGCGTTTGTGGAGCGCGACATCCTCACCTTCGCCGAGAACCCCTTCGTCGTCAGCATGTTCTGCTCCTTCCAGACCCGCCGCCACCTCTGCATGGTCATGGAGTACGTCGAAGGTGGGCACAGGGCCAACAGGTGTCGTGGTATGGGGCTAGGCATCGTGATACAGGGCTGGGTGTCGTGATACTGGGCTGGGTGTTATGGTATGGGTCTGGGCATCATGATACAGGGCTGGGCATCGTGATAGAGAGCTGGGCGTTGTGATATGGGGCTGGGCATCATGATGTGGTGCTGGGTGGTACGATGAGGGGCTGGGCATTGCAATACAGGGTTGTGTGTCATGATATGGGGCCAGGCATCACAATATGGAGCTGGGCCTTGTGGTACAGGGCTGGGCAGTGCAGTGTGGGGTGGTTTGTGTCATGACAGAGTGGTTTATGTCACGATGGGGTGGTTTTACGTCCCGACACAGTGTTTTACGTCTGGGTGGGTGCTCTGTGTCCTGCTCGGATGTGCTGGATGGTGGTGGGTGATGCTGTGATGCATACTGCTGTGTCCCCCCATGTCCCCCCATCCCAGGCGGGGACTGTGCGACACTGCTGAAGCACATCGGGGCGCTGCCGCTGGAGCTGGCCCGGCTCTACTTTGCCGAGACTGTCCTGGCCCTCGAGTACCTGCACAACTATGGCATCGTCCACCGGGACCTCAAGCCTGACAAGTATGCCTGGAGACTGGGGTCCCCCAAGGCCAGGGCGGGGGAATGACACCAGTCTGGGGGAGGGCCGGGGGGATGCCGGCCACCTGGGTCCCTGCCGGACGCCTGGGTCCCTGCAGCCTGCTGATCACCTCACTGGGCCACGTGAAGCTGACGGACTTTGGGCTCTCCAAGATGGGGCTGATGAGCCTCACCACCAACCTCTACGAGGGCCACATGGAGAAGGATGCCCGCGAGTTCCGTGACAAGCAGGTGGGTGGGGCCAGGTGGGGGCATTGGGGTGGGGCCATTGGGGTGTGGTGGGGCGTGGCCGACCCTGACCCCGCCCACAGGTGTGCGGCACCCCCGAGTACATCGCGCCTGAGGTGATCCTGCGGCAGGGCTATGGGAAGCCGGTGGACTGGTGGGCAATGGGCATCGTCCTCTACGAGTTCCTGGTGGGCTGTGTCCCCTTCTTCGGGGACACCCCCGAGGAGCTCTTCGGGCAGGTCATCTCCGGTATGGGGACAGATGCATGGCGGGGGAGGGACGGGACATGAGGGGACAGGGCAGGTCATCTCGGGGACGGGGATGGGGCGGGACACGGGGACATGGGGCAGGTCATCTTGGGTACAGGGGGGACACGGGGATGGGGCAGGTCATCTCTAGTACAGGGATGGGGACATGGGAGGGACACAGAGCAGTTCATCTCTGGTACGGGGACATGGGGGGACACAGGGACATGGGGATGGAGTAGGTCATCTCGGGTATGTGAGGATGGGGGCATGGGGACAGGGCAGGTCATCCCTGATTCAGGGATGGGTAGGGGGAAATGGGACATCATGCGGCTGGCAGCCATGACCCTGTGCTCTCATGTCCCCCTCTGTCCCCACCACATGTCAGACGAGATCCTGTGGCCGGAGGGGGACGAGGCGCTGCCCCCTGACGCCCAGCACCTCATCTCCTGCCTCCTGCAGCCCGACCCCCTGCGCCGCCTCGGGGCTGGTGAGACCCCCCACCCCCACCCCCGCCCTCCCCCCTGGGCTGCTATCCCTGCTGACCCCATCCCCATCCCCGCAGGGGGGGCACAGGAGGTGAAGGCTCATGGCTTCTTTGCGGCACTCGACTGGACGGGGCTGCTGCGGCAGAAAGCTGAGTTTGTGCCGCATCTGGAGTCTGAGGAGGACACCAGCTACTTTGACAGTGAGGGACCCCCGGGGCACCCCGGGAACAACTCGGGACCCCTCCAGGACCCCCCAACCCTGGGACCACCCCACATTCCCTCCCAGGGGACACCCCCTTGGCACCCCACGCACCCCCCAGGACTTCCAGGCAGGGACAACCCCTCAGGGGACCTTCTAGCCCCCCCACACTCATGGGTCCCTGGGAGGGCCCCCTCTATGGTTCCTCACCCCTGGGCCCCCCTGGGGTCACCCTATGGGCCCCCCACCCCGTGTTCCCCCCTCACCCCTGCCTCCTGCAGCACGCTCGGACCGGTACCCCCACGTCACCTCCTATGAGGATGAGGACACGACGGAGGACGAACCTGTGGAGATCCGGCAGTTCTCATCCTGCTCCCCCCGCTTCAGCAAGGTGGGGGGGACAGGGTGATACAGAGGGGTGGGGACATGCAGTGATGGGCTGGGATAGGGGGATGTGGGGACGTGGGGATGTACAGGACCTCGCGTGGCCCCGTGCAGCGCAGGTTCCTCACGCGCAGCCCCGTGCAAATCCTCGTGCAACCCCCGTGCCAAGCCTGGTATGAGCGGGTGTGAGGTGGTGCTGGTGCGCAGGTGTACAGCAGCCTGGAGCAGCTCTCACAGCAGCAGGAGCCGAAGGCAGCCAAGGGGCGTCCACGGGACGAGGGGAGACGCGATGGCTTCGCCCGTGACCGCGGCTGGCGCACGGCTTCACCCGAGCTGTGAGTGCCCATGCTGGGGTCCCTGGGTGGGGGTCATGGCTGGGTCCCCAAGGTGGGGGGGCAACACCTGGATCCCCTGGGGTCTGCCCAAATGCCTGCTTCCCCCAGAGGGGAGGGTGTGGGGGGGTGTAGTTGTCAGAACCCCCCCAAACGCCTGGGTCGCAACAGGAAGCGCCCATCGGCGGCTGAAGGGCCCCCCCCCGAGGGTGAGGGCAGCCCCCCCCCGGGTGCCCGTCGCCGCTTCTCGGCACTGCTGGAGCCAGGGCGCCCTGGGGCCCCCCCCGAGGAGCGGCCGCCCCCCCGCAACGGGGGCACCCCCCGCGATGGACCCACAGATGGACCCAGCGAGGAGGCAGGTCAGTCCCAGACATCGGGCACCCTGGTGAGGGGTGAGGCGTCCTGGACGCTTGGGTCCCTGGTGGGGGGTCCCAGACACCTGGGTCCTCACCAGGCTGTCCCCCCAGGGGAGCGAACGCCACGGGCTGGGGACCTGCCCCCACCCCGGGCTGAGCTGGGGCTGCGGCGGCCGCGGCACCCAGGGGTGGTCCCCGAGGCAGGGGGTGACAAGCGCAGCCCCCGTGGCCCCGGGAAGGTCACCAAGTCGGCGTCGGCCACTGCTCTCTCCGTCATCATCCCCAGCGGTGGGTGTCACCCCAGGGACCCCAGCCTGACCCCCCGGGA